CCTCTAGCTTAAGAAGGGGGAGCTACTAACTCTCTTCTCTTCCTCCACTACCACATGTGAGCTAATTACCTCTCGGTCTCATAGTCTAGCACATGGTTTATATTATTATTGGTCTAATCTATGCAATTTTTTCTCAAGTTCATGCATAAATCACTAAATCAATTGAAAGATGATCAGTCTTCCAATGCATTAAGTTCAATAATATAAACTCCTCATGCGAATAACTTTAATTGAAAATATAAAATCACAAAATCCATATTGAATTGATTAAGCTACATCGTAGCCCTAGTAGAATAAATCAGTTTATAGTAAAAAGAATAAAATATGAAATCAAAGTTATGAACATTCAAATATCAAACAATAAATAAAAACTCAAGGAAAAACAAAACCCAATTTGAGAAAATCGAACTCCTTGATCTTCTATTGTTGATGGAACCTCAATTTTGATCTTCAAGAGTGCTCAAAGAGGGCTGCCACCAGCCTCTCAAAGCTCTCTTAATTCTAAATTTAGATGAGTATTTATAGGATTTTAGAAACCCTAGTTGGAATAGAAGTAGGACTTGGAATAAAAATAGGAAACTAAATTTTGGATGCAGATCGCGTAGTGCTGGCACTTCAGATTACGTGTTGACACAAAATAGGAAACAGAATCTGATTATGGACGTTTAACGCATGGTGTCGACACCCCGATTACGTGTCGACACTACACCCGTGTCGGGTTTTTTTGCCTCCTTTTGCAATTTCTTCAATGGTAAAATGGCAGATCTGGTTCCTGACTTCTGGATTTTGCACAAGTTGATCCTCAAGTCTCTAATTTCTTCAATTTACTTCTAAAAAGTAGGATTTCTTCCAATTAAATCCTTTCCTACACAAAGAATGAAAACCATGTAAAATCAAACAAAATCCCATAAAACTCATCCAAATATTAATAATATCAAAGTAAAAATTCCCTATTAATATGTATATAAATTTAGCTCATCAGAGCCACTAGAAGATCAATATTGGAAACAGATGGGAAGTCCTGAACCTTCTTATACCATAGACTCTTTCCAATAGAGCTTACACCAGGAGAGTATATCAAGTTCAGATTACTATAGCTGTTCCTGTATACATTCCTCAATCTACCCGAGTCCCTAGTGTTATCCTTCACTTGTGCAGTTCTAATCCACTTCCCATACATATAGACTGTGAAGGATCCACTGGAGACATGACTCTCTCTTCCCCACACATTTTCTCCAAATGTCCCAGCCTTCCACACTTATAGCAGAAATCAGATAGTTTCTCATACTTCAACTGTACTCATTTGTTTTCCTGATTCTTAGAGTGAGACCATAAACCAACAAACAGGGGTTTTAGCACTTCTATTTGCACTCTACATCTAAGAAATCCCCTAAACAGGACATTGTTCACGATTGGCAGGGGATTGTTCACGATTGGGTTTTCTGCTTAACCAATATACCCAGGTTGCTACCTATGGTAACAGCACTGTTACAGGTAAATCATATAAGTTCAGGCCATGGACTTGAATCCAATAGGAAGCTAAGGAGAAGTCAATATCAGCTAAGGCAGTACCACAATCCCATCGCTTGACATTAAACAAAAAACCACCTAAAGACCATGGAGCATTGTCCAATACAAACATCAAGTCGGATTCAGTATGAAAAGAGATTGTATAAGGATTTTCGTCAACTTCATTTACCTGAAAATCCTTTCGACCTGCCCAGGCCTTAGCCAAAACCCAATAGACCTTGTTGGGGTGGACTGGGATTTTTGCAATCACCCTTCCCGCTGCAGTGAACGACCTACGATCCTCAGATGATGCATCAAATTACAGGCCGACTACTAGTCCCCAGTGAGCTATAACAATTGCCAATGAAACTGTAGGGAATTAATTTCTCGGGTTCGAAGGGTTTAGAAAACTGAAATTCAATTCTGCTACCATTTAAGAATTTTGGTCAAGGAATCAAAAGGCTACCGAATGAAAGCTACTACTCATGGATTTTGTGTTGATTTGGAGGAAGGAAAGCTACGATTTAGGTGTTTTTTTTTGTGGGTTGAGAAAAGATCAAGAGGAGAATGGAAAAATTTTTTAGGAATTTCTGAGGGGAAAGATAAAAAAGAACCCACGAAGAACCTTGTTATGAGTAGGGGAATTTTCAATGAGAAGAAGGAAAAGGAAGTGGAGGTGGTGGCTATTGAGATGATGGAGAACCCAGCTAGAGCACCCCAGTATGTAGCCACACGAAGGAGGGATTTCTCATCCTTTGTGTAATTTTGGGTACGTTTGGTGCAGTTTTGTCACTTTTTTTGCATTATTTATAAGTTTAAATTTTTTTTATAAAAGTTTATATTTTTAAATATTATTTTAATTTAAAAAATTTTAAATAATAAAAAATTTAAAAATTTTAAATTTAAATTTTTTATAAATTTTTTTATTTATTTTTTAACTTTAAAAATAATTTTTAAATTTTTTTAATAAAAATTTAAACATAACACTCATTAAAAAAAAAAAAAAAAAAACAACTTCAATCAACTACATTAAACAGGCCCTAGTGTTTTGTGGAGTGATTTTTTTAATGAAGTATACCTATGATTTCTGAAAATTCGTCCATATAGATTAATGGTATAACAATAATTGATCATGATCATAGGTATAAATTTTTTTTTTATACTTATGTTAAGCCACTGTTGTAGATAAAATTATTTTTTTCTACAATTTTTATAAATATATAAATGTATTTAAATTACATTCATATAAACGAATAAATTATAGATATAAATGCCTATACTTACATAATTGTGTGTATAAGTAAAAAAGGGCATAGGAGGAGGGCAATTGTGAGATATGAGTGGGAGAATCCTACCTCAACTTAAAATAAAAATGTATATAAATTAAATATAAAAAAATTTATTTTATCTATTATTAATTAATTTTAAAAGCAGTGCTAGGGACACTCGCTTTTGGCACTCCACCGGCCAACACTTCCCCTTTCATTGGGCCACGTAAGCTTCTTTAAAAAGCTTTCAGCGCAACCTCTCGAACCAAAATAACGTGGCCCAATGAAAGAGAAAGTGTTGCCCGAGAGTGCAGGAGGCGAGTGCCCCTAGCATTGCTCTAATTTTCATTTTAGATCGCGGACCATCGACCCGGCCATCCGCGCAAACATCCCCCACCAAAAAGACCCCAGCAAGGAATTACAGGACCAGGAACTTAGTAACATTATGAAACACAACATCTCCGACATCATCTCCTTGTAATAACACTTCAAGGAACAACATCTCCCACATCTCCGAATTCTGATTCTTAAGAGAAACAGAGGGGTGAGGAATGTTTACAGTGGAGAGAGAGATAGAATCGTAAAACACTGAAGTAACTCTCCGGTGAATCTTGAAGAACGCAGAAAAGATTTCGCCACCTGTAAAGAGGTATTTCTAGCGACTGTTGATTCTCGTTCTCTGGTCTACATATTCATGGATTCTTGAACAGATTCTACTGCAATGCTTGGCTTGGGACAGGTTGGTTTTACATTTCTTGAGGTTTTTTGGTATATTATTCTACCAAATCAACTTTCAGGAAGGTGATGAGCTCTGTCATGGTTGAATGGTTCTTTTTTGTCTTTTTGATCAGATGATTGAATGCTTTCTTTATTAATTTTTAGGCTAGAAATGGCATGGCTGGACTTGTTTAGATTGATTTAGATGGAAAAGGAAATGCCCAATGGTTTCTACGTTTCAGTTCTTTGGTCAAGATTTTTCATCCGCACTTACCTGTTTTTTTGGATGAAAATAGGTTTCGATCCTTTCTAAGCCTGTAATTCATAGAAGATTTTGTTTGTGGGCTTTAGATATAAGGGGCGAGATATGGAATCGGGTTTGGTTTGTGTCAATTGGTCTTAACTCATTCTACGTGGGCTTGAGAGAATATTGGATCTGAGTTAAGAGGCTGCAGGATATATATTGCTGGAAACTTCGGGATGGTTAGTGTGAGGCTTAACGGCAATAGAATTTAGGCTTAGAGTTGGATTAAATGATTTTAAGGAAGCAATAAGAAACTTCAATAAAAGGGAATAATTTTTTTTAAAAAAAAGGAGAAATATTAAAAGAAATAATAGAAAGAAAAAATAAAATTCATAGAAAATAGAAGGCAACATTGGAAATATTTATTTTATTGTAATTGGGTTCGGTTGTGGAAAATTGGACAGTTTGGTAATAGGAACTTGTTTCAGGACAACTAGATGCCTTATTTTGTTGTGTTATTGCACTTTGAATTGAAAATTTTCTGATTAACTAACTGCTGCCAGGTCAGCAATTTAGTTGTGTGTCATTGTTCTTCATTTTGATGGCTTGTTTTATGGGTAAATCTACATCCAGTGGAAACATGGTAGATAGTTAATGATTACATAAATTCAAAGACAAATGTGTACAACTGAGCATCATAGAGCATAGTCTACATTAGCTCTGGCTGAACTAAGGTTGAGCTTGAGGGTGGCTTTAAATCTTGGATTTGGAATATGTTTCATCTTAGTTTCCCAGTGACATTGCTGCGATATGATCATGTAAATCAATGTTTTCTTTCTTAGTGTTTTCCTAGAGGTTCTTGTGTGCCAAAAACGACAAAAAAGGGTGACTTTAGGGCCTTGACAGATGAGGGTTTTTTTTCTTTCTTTCTTTTTAATTTTATTTTTTTTTAATTTTAATTTTTATGAGTTGCTTGATTAAACAATTTTTGCTGATTGAACCTCTGCATAAGGTTTGGTGATTGGGGTGTGGCAACATGACAATGAATGAGGAGAAGACGATTGACCTTGGTCAAGGATGGGAATTAATGCAAAGAGTGAACACACTGCTTAAGAATAACCTGGACGTCCTGGAGCCGAAGTTGAGTTATGACGACACCGAGAATCTTTCTCTGTATCCTTTTTGTGTTATTTGTTTGTTTACAATGTTAAGTATATTGATTGATATTTTTTTAGAAAAATGATGGCTACATTCTTCAATTCAATACGCTAATCAATATTTAGCAGTTTAGTTGTTAAAATTTAGAACTCTAAGTTTTTTTTGCCTTTAATTTAATTTTAAAAATAATAATTTTTTAATAAATAAATTGTGAGATGTGTTGAATTAGTGGGTATATGTATCAATATTCATTTTTTTTTGGGTATGATGCAATCTGTTAACAAGAAACTTTTCCTTAATATTTTTTAGAATTATCACAGAAATGTGTAACCAAAAGTCGCCCCACGATTATTTTCAGCAGCTGTATGACAAGTAGAGAGTGTATTGAAGAGTACATCACATCAACAGTAAGGGTTTATGACTTGCTTTTAAAATTTTGAGCTGTATAATTGGCTGAAACAGTTCAATTATATTGATTTGTTCCTGAAGCAACACTGTGTTAGTTTAGCCATCAGATGGCTGAATTACATGCTTTATAGTCAAATTTATAGCCATATGTTGCCTTTTTAATTTGAAATTTTGCTTACGTTATTGTACTAGTTTTAATTTTTAATTTCAATGCATTCTTATGCTTTTTTTCTAATTAGGTGTCGCCATTTTTAAGAGAGAAGCATGGTGAATCTATCTTGACAGAGCTTGTTCATAGATGGGATCACCATATAGAGCTTGTCAATTGGCTTTCCAATTGCTTTCAATATCTTGAGGGCAACTACATATCTCAAAATTCATCGCCTTCCCTCCATGAAGTTGGAATCACTTGTTTCCGTGTCCTGGTATGTAAAGTATGTGTTGGAATACTAATTATATGATTCATGAACAATTTCATTTAAGATCATGCATATTCTGAGTTTCATGTACCTTCATTGTTCATATTGTAACTATAAAAAGGCTTATGCTTGGGTCAACTGGAGCAAGCCAAACTAAATTTTTCAAGAAATCTCGTATTCTTCCTTTCGACTTCCTCCCAAAAACTGTTTATTTCAAGAACCCTTATACATTGCTTTCTCTTGATTTTAGCTCTAGCCTTCCAAGAGGAATATTTAGAAACTGATTTTCTTTGATTTCAGGTATACCAAGAACTATATGGAAAACTGAGCGAAGCTGTAATTTCTCTTAAGAATAACTCGTTGAAAAATCAAGCAGATAAGGGCGACCAAATTGATAGATCCTTATTGAAGAATGTTTTAGATATATTTGTTGAAGTTGGTATGGGGAAAACCTATAGGAAAAATTACAAGGTGATTACAGGCTCTCTATCTATTGTATAAATTATGCTACTTAATTAACCTTTCAACTAATTAACCATAAATTGTTGCACTGTTCCTAATGTTAGGTGGAGGATTTGTCAAGAATGGTAGAGCTCTGTTCTCAAATTCCTGGAGGCTTGATTATCATTTCTCGGATTTTCGCAGCCGTTAGACCTTTTTTCTTCATGCATATGGTATATAAATATTGTAAGTCTGTAACCCTATTTTGTCAAAAAAAAAAGTATTTTACAGGATAAATTGTGCATTAAAAGTATAGTTTTTTTATGAATTTACTTTGTTAAAATATTTAAATAAATTTATCAAATAAACTATACTTTTAATTTACAACCTGACATGTGAAACTTAAATTTCTTTTGTCAATAACATCAGAATTATTTTCAGCTTTAGCCTAGGTTTTCTTTCTTCTTCCTTTTATTCTGTCTTTATTCCTTGTTTATAATATGGCTTCGTCTTCCTCTAAACAAATCTCCTCTATGTTTTCTACAATTTTAACATATCCTAGTGTCATCTCCCCTCACCCTTTTTTCACTATGTATAATATCAAGAACTTTGATCCCTGAGACATTGACGCCTGAAAATTATGCTATTTGGAAAGAATTGATGAATCTTGCATTCAAAAGCAAGGGAGTATATGGTATTGATCCTTGTTTGCCTCCTACAAATCCAAATTTTGAAGCTGGGATGCAAATTGATTTTCAAATCTTGTTTTAAAGGGCATCTTCATGTATTCTTTTTTCACTTAGTCGTCCATCCATTTACCATGTATTGATCTGTTCTCTACCTCCTTCATTCTTTTCTTTTCTATTCATTCAAATAAAGTCTCTCATTTTCCTTTCTATAGCATCTTGCTACTGAAGCTAGAGCATTGATTGGACATGCTGAGGATGCTACAAGCAATGAAAAGGTCTGTATTATAGTTGTCTTAGTTTATTTAATAAGATTTTAGAGGTTCCTTTTCCACTTATTTATAAAGCAAAGCATTGAAGATAGATCTTCTATTTATAAAGCAAAGCATTGAAGATAGATCTTCTATTTAGTATCTCGATAAAGTTGCTTAATGATTCATTAACATTGATGCAACTAATCTTATAGCATATAATGTTACTAGAAAGCCTTAATTTGACTTAGCATTGATGCAATTGATTTGTTTATGCTTGTCTTTACCCATATGAGCACATGGTTGGCAATGCAAGGGTGGGTTGTAATTCTATTTACTATTGGATTTTATACTATATTGATCCTCTTTTGTTGTTTTTCAGGATTTTGTAATGAAGGTTATTGAGCTGCGTGACAAATACTGTATCTACGCCAATGATTGTCTCAAGAGAGAAACTTGTTTACTTCTAGTATGTGATAGATAATGGTCATGTGGTAGCTATTTAAAGAGCTAAAGATAAACAAGCTAGGAAAAAAGCTTATAAACTAACAAGAGAGTGAGTTCCTCTTGGGTGAGGAGAATGAATAGTATTTGCTAGTAGATGACTCTTAATAATAGTAGCTGTGCAATAGAGATAGTAACTAAGCTAAACTTATCAAATCTCAAGTTAGAGCTAATAGTTAGATAATAGATAGCTAGTAACAAGTTTGCAATTCTTAATAAGGAATTGAGTAAGGCCTTAACCTCTACTGTATTAGAAGTAGCTCCTAAATTTGTAGTACCAATAACAACACTAACAATAGCTCACTTGTATAAACCTTAACTATAATAATGGTAGCTTTAAAGCCTCTTTTGTTATCTTTTTAAAGTACCCCTATAGGTTGTTACTTCAAAATTTGACTTTCTTCCATTTCTTCTAGGCTCTCAAGATTGCTTTTCAAGAATTTTGGGGAAAAGGTGTGGTTGGGAAATCCTGTTCAAAAATTTTGGCTTCTTTTTGTGATAACATTATAAGGAAAGGAGGAAACGAAGCAATTGAAGAAACCCTTCAGAAGGTTTGCTACTTATGGTTCTAGTCCTAATTAATATAGTCATTCTAGTCTTATTTTCGTGCTCAATGTATGGTTTCTAATCTCCAGGTAGATGACTTGCTTAATTATATCACATATGACGATAGAGATTTGTTTGCAAAATTTTACTAGTAGGTATTTGGGTTAAATTTAATTATAAAAATGAAAATTAATCATATCTTATTAATCATCATTGTATTCTACTTGTTGAATTTTTTTATCGGAAAAAGATGGCTCAAAGGCTTCTTTTCTACAAGAATGCTGATGTGGAATTTGAGGCATTTATTCTAACACAGCTGAGCTCACACTTACAACCCTTCATTGAGAAGATGAGGCAAATGGTAATTTGTCAATTGGAAGTTGTTTGTTGTCTTCTAGAATTATTGATGCTAATCTAGAGATTTTATGTTTTGAGTTCAGCTTAGAGATTTAACATTGGCAAAACAAAATTGAGTGGCTTTTAAGGATTACTTGAGCACCATTCCATATACAGATCCAAGGATTGACTTGGCTGTAACTGTTCTCACCAATCGTCATTGGCCTTGCTATAAGTCTTTTCATCTTAACCTTCCGCCTGAAATGGTATAGTGTATTATATTAAATTATTTCTTATCTTTTGATCTCTTACAAGTCTAGCGCCATTTTGATTTTCTGTGTGAAAAGTATACATATGAGTTTCAACATAAGGTGCACATCCAACTTAGAATCAATTGGTAATAAGTGAAGTAACCCTCTTTGTATTTAACTTATAAGCTTTTTTATTATATAATCAATGGGGGATTTTTCCACTTGACATACGCCCTCATGTGCAAGCCTGTTATAAACTCAAGTCTTGTCACATGACCTAACATGCCTTCTTACATGCAAACTCAATATGAACTTTAGGTCTTGTCCTTCTCATGTGCAAGCTTGGTATGAACATTAGGTCTTGTCATGTGATTTAATACAACCCCTTACATGCAGGCTTGGCATGAACTTCAGGTATTGTCTAGTGGGCTAACAATGGGCTAACAATGGGCTTTTTAGGAATGGAGCTTGGGCTTTGATACTATTTGAAAATTGTGCGTGTGGATTTCAACACAAGGCTTGCATCTAACCTAAAATCAATTGGCAATAGGTAGAGTACCCTTCCTTATTTAACCCACATGTTTCTTTCAACATGCCCCTTCAGATGCAAGTCCAATATCAATGTTAGGTCTTGTCACATGACTTAATATACCCCCTTACATGCAGGTCTAGTATTAATTTCAAGTTCTGTACGGTAGACAAACAATGTGTTTCCCAAGATGGAACCTCGACTCTTATACTATGTCAAGTCTTGTCATGTGCCTTAATATGCCCCCTTTTCCATGTAGGGTATCAACTTTGAGTTGTATCATGTTAGTTAACAATGGGCTTCTTAGGATGAAACCTGAGCTTTAATACCATGTCAAAATTGTGCATGTGGGTTTCAACACAAGATTTATATCCAACTTAAAACCATCCTCGTGTGTAAGCCTGATATGAACATTAGGTCTTGTCATGTGCATAAACTTTAGGTCTTGTCAGGTGTGTTAACAATAAGTTTTTTAAGAATGAAACTTGGAATGAAAATTGTACATGTGGGTTTCAACACAAGGCTTGCATCTAACCTACCCAATTGGCACTATGTGAAGTAGTTCTCCTTATATTTAACCCACAAGCTTCTTTGTTATATTATCGATGTGGGATTTTCTCACTCAACATGCCTCCTCACGTGCAAACTCGGTATGAATGTCAAGTCTTGTCACATACCTTAATACGCCCCTTTTACATGCAAACCCAGTATCAACTTCAAGTCTTGTTGGGTCTTATCACATGTCTTAATACACCTTTATACATGTAGGTCTAGTATTAACTTTGGATTCTATTAGGTGGGCTAAGAAAAGTGTGCATGTGGCCTTCAATGCAAGATTTACATCCAACCTAAAACCAATTGGCAATAGGTGGAATAACCCTCCTTGCATTTAATTAACAAACTTCTTTATTATATCATTGATATGAGATTTTTTCACTTAACACTCTGCACCTTTTCCTACCAAATTGATAACCTGGTTTTAAGTCTTTGAATCATTAAATTCATCACTCCTTTGAAGCAAAAGGGGGTTTAATTCTCGAAAGAATAGGATTAGACTTTAAGATTTCACAAGTTTCTTCTTTGTTTGCGCTAAAATGGTGCTTAAAGTGTATCTAACACCTTTTCTTTGTGAAATTTCCATTGCATAGGTCAAATGTGTTAAAGGTTTCACTATGTTTTATCAAACAAAAATGAATCGTAGAAAACTTACATGGATAAATTCCTTGGGGAACTGTAAGCTCATAGGCAATTTTGAGCCCAAAAGTATAGAGTTGGTTGTAACTACAACTCAGGTAATATGTTAACTTCTTTTTTCTTTTTTTTTTGCAAATAATCTTGTCTTAGGATTGGATTTTTTTGTTATCAACTCTGAATTTGGGTTTTATGTTTAGGCTTGTGCATTGCTACTCTTTAATGAGTTTGATAGGGTTACGTATTCAAACATCAAAGCTTCATTAAAGTTGCCTAATAAGGATCTTGCGAGGGTTCTACAGCCTTTATCATGTGTAAAGCATCAAATACTTAAAAAGGAACCAAACACACAAACCATATCTCTTAGTGATTACTTTGAATTCAACTCAAAGTTCACAGATAGAAGGAAAAGGATCAAAGTTAAGTACTATTTTTTTATCCTATTTTAGATATTCATTATTTTCCTTCTTATCAACTTATATGTTGTCTTTCGTTTAACTTGAAGATTTCAATACCTCCTTTACTTGAGAAGAACGTAGTTGTAGATGATGAGACGCCCGTCTAGAATAGAATTTATAGATCAAATATCATTGGAGCCACAATAATGAGGATAATGAAAAGGCGTGAGGTTTTGGATTTTCAACAATTGTCAAAGGAATGTCTTGAGCAATTGCGTTCCAAGTTGAAGGTCCAAGAAAGCACTCTATTCCTCTTTGAAAGTTACAAAAGTTGCTTGCTGTACTCAGTGATGTTAATACAATTAAATGTTGCTTTTGCAGTTTCATCTCAGGGAATTCAAAATGCAAATTAAAACTTTGATTCAGGGAGAGTATCTTATGAGGGACCAGTCTGATCCGAATCTGTTCAAGTACATACCATGATGTGGATTAATTTGGTAAGGTATTTTACATAAAGAAATTGTGAGAATTGAAGAGCAAAATTTGTCTTTTTCAAAGTAACATTTTTTGAGTAATTGTTGCTGATATTTGTATGGAAATGAACTAACCAAGATGAGTATAGAAAACAAACAAAATGCATAGACAACTCCACAAGGTGCTCCAGGAATCTTGATGCATCTCATGCCATGCTTAACTTTGGATTGTTGGATAACATTACCCAAGATTGGTGATGCAGCACTCTATATATAAAAATAGAAGGGACAATTTACTCATCAAAACACAGGAATGAACCAAGTTCCCTAACATTAGTTAAATGGTTGTCCATGATAAGAGCTGTTTTCCTCTTTCACTCTATTTTTATAGAGGTAAAGCAAAAGCAACTCCCCAAAACATAGGAATGAGCCAAGGTATCCTTCTTTGAAAAGCTTGTCCCATACATTCTTTGTTTCCTTGAGGACAAAGCCACACTCTGGAGGCCTATTGGGATGTTCACTCCTTGTGTAGATTTTACTTGGAAGAGGACGTGGTTTAAGAATATTATTAGAGTTAGATGATACGGAAGAGGCAAACTCTTCCAGCATATATAGTTAAAAAAGGGCATAACGTAACAGTGAACTCAGAACAAGCTAATATGATGAAAGAATCAATTCATTTCAAAACAATATTTTTATTTTTATGTAAAATATGTTCTACGTGAAAACAAACAATTTTTTATTTTCTCATGCATTTTGAGGGGAACAATCCACCAAGGTGCTGGCTTGACCTCTTTTGACTCAGATTGATAAATTAGTGAGCAACTTCCATCACCGAAACTATATATTCTGTTGTCACGTCCCCGGATCAGCAACCAGTAATCACCCATGAAGTAAATCGAATTCCCTTTGCAACTTGCACAATCATTGTTTGTGGCTATAGAAATTGAATGATTTCCACCAAGAAACAAAGACCTGTCCCCTAAGGAATTCACCTCTACTCATTTTTTCTCTACTACATCCAACTTGAACACCTGGAACATCTTTGTCACTCCTAAGTAACCATTTTTAAACTCTTTCTTTTCATCAACCATAAACCTCACAACAAGAATTTCTCCTTTGGATTCTACTACGTATTTTCCCCTAGGCGGTTAGGCCAACAACGTGATGGCAAATCTGCTAGTTCTACTCTCTTCTTAATCAATTCCCTAAAACAAGGGATCACTATTCTAATTTTTACGACTTGATAACTTCTTAAATTCCAAATATCAAGGTAATCAACCATGTAACCTACTGCATAAATTTTGTTTTACAGACAGATGATGTCCCTGTAAGTAATGAGTTCATTTTTTTTCTTTTTCATCATCATAACTATTGAATTTGGTCCATGAACTATCTCCATTCCTGGAGACAAAAACTACGCCATATTCACCAACAGGTTCTGCAGTCAAAATAGCTTTTTGAATGAAAAATTGCCAGGCTACTTCGAGCATTTGTTTATATTTCTCCATGGATCCCCCATCTAGCATCCCTTGGACTGCAGCCTAATATAGCCTAGAGTCTAAATTGTAAAATAAAGAATACAAAAAAAATATATAATTAATGTAAAAACTTAAATAATTTAATATTTTTTTAATGAAAATAAAATATTTTAAGTTTGAGATTTATTATTTTAAAAAAAATTATTTTTTACCAGACAACTTAAAATTAAAATTAAAACGAATGTAAAAACTTGTATAATATAAGTTATACAAATGTAACACAGATATCAATGAATCAATCTAAATTCTGGATAATCAAGCAAGTATAGACTGAATTGGGCCAAAAAAGCATGGCAAAGGAAATGCTAAAACGCACGCAAAAACTTGCAGCAAAGATTTATTCCGAGGTCTAAATGAATAAAAGAAAAAATGCCTAT